ATTTCAGAAGGTCATTTGTAATACTGGTTACCAATCATAGTATTTCATTCTCAATCACTTTGATCAGCATGATGAAGCAAAGGACAACACCACAAAGTCTGGAAGATACAGAAATCTGTTGGGAAATTGAATGGATTTTAAAAATCTGCAATAACTATTATTTTTACAGCTTCTGAATATCGCTAGGCTAGGTATTATCGCCTGAGTATTAATCCAGAGACTCAGCTAATGTTCTGGGGACCCAGTTTCAAATCAAGTCGTGGTAGATGGTGGAAGTTGAATTCAAAAACAAAGATCTGGAATTAAGAATCTGCTGATTCTTACCACCTGACTCACGACTGTCCCTCAGGGAAGAAATCTGCCATCCTCACCTGGTCTGGCGTACACATGATTCCAATGTGGTCGACTCTCAATTGCCCTCTGAAATGGCCTAGCATGCCAGTCAGTTGTACCAATCACTATAAAGTCTTGAAGCCTTGAGGAAATGAAACCAGATGAATTACCTGGCATTGACCTAGGCACCGGAAAAGACAACGCCAGACACAGCCCTGTCGACTCTGCAAAGTCCTCCTTACTAACATCTGGGGGCCAGTGCCAAAATTGGGAGAGCTGTCTCACAGACCAGTTGAGCAACAGCCTGACATAGTCATAACCACAGAATCATACCTTACAAGCAATGTGCCAGACACCACCATCACCATCCCCTGACACATCCTATTGCACTGGAAGGACAGAACTGGCAGAGATGGCAGCACAGTGGTATACTGTCGAGAGGGAGTTGCCCTGGGAGTCCTCAACATTGACTGCAGACCCGTAAAGTCTCGTGGCTTCACGTTAAACGTGGGCAAAGAAGCTTCCTGCTGATTACATGTACTGTCATCCCTCAACTGATGAATCAGTACTACTCCATATTCAGTAACACCGAGGATGGCAAGACCACAAAATGTACTCTGGATGGGGGATTTTAATGTCCACCACCAAGAGTGGCTCAGCAGCAGTACTACTCATTAAGCTATTCAGTGGCAGGTGGTGAGGAAACCAACGAGAAAAAACATACTTGACCTCATCCTTACCAATTTGCTGGTTGCAGATGTATATGTCCATGACAGTATCTCTAAGAGCCACCACCACACAGTCCTTGTGGAGACGAAGACCCATCTTCACTTTGAGCATAACCTCCATTGTGTTGTGTGGCACTATCACTGTCCTAAATGGGACAGACTTCGCACAGATCTAGCAACTCAAGACTGGGCATCCATGAGGTGCTACAGGCCAACAACAGCAGAATTGTACTCCAGCACAATCTGTAACCTCATGTACCTGCATATCCCCCACTCAACAATTACCATCAAGCCAGGAGATCAACACAGGTTCAATGGAGAGTGCAGGAGGGCTGAAGATGAGGTATCAACCTCATGAAGCCATCAAATAGAATAAGAAGTGAGTGATAGACAGAGCTAAGCAATTCCACAACAAACAGATCAGGTCTAAGCTCTGCAGTCCTGCCATATCCTGTCGTAAATGGTGGTGGATGATTAAACAACTCATTGGAGGAGAAGACTCCACAAATATCCCCATCCTCAATGATGGAAGAACCGAGCAAATCAGTGCAAAAGATAAGACTGAAGCACTTGCAGCGATTTTCAGCCACAAGTGCTGAGTGGATGATCCAACTTGGCCTCCTCCAGTGGTCCCCAGCATTACAGATACCAATCCGATTCACTTAACGTGATATCAAGAATTAGCTGGAGACACTGAATACTGCAAAGCATATGGGCTCTGACAAGATTCTAGCAATAGCACTGAAGACTTGCGCTCCAGAACTTGCCGCTCCCCTAGACAAGCTATTCCAGTAGTTACAATACGGTCATCTAAGTGACAATGTGGAAAATTGTCCAGGTATGTCCTGCACATCGAAAGCAGGGCAAATCCACCTCGGCCAATTACCACCCCATCAGTCTACCCTCGATCATCTGTAAAGTAATGGAAGGTGTCACCAACAGTACCATCCAACAGCACCTGCTCAACAATAACCTGCTCAGTGACACCCAGTTTTGCTTCTGCCAAGGCCACTCAGCTCCTGACCTCATTACAGCTTTGGTTCAAACATGGACAAAAGAGCTGAATTCCAGAAGTGAGATGAGAGTGACTGCCCTTGATAACAAGGCTGAATTCAACCAAGTGTGGCATCAAGGAGCCCTGCAAAACTGGAATCAATGGGTATCAGAGGACAAACTCTCTGATGGATGGAGTCAGAGCTGGCACATAGGAAGATGGTTGTGTGTTGGAGGTCAGTTATTTCAGCCACAGGACATCTCTGAGGGTGTTCCTCAGGGTAGTGTCCTCAGCCCAACCATCTTCAGCTCCTTCATCAATGACCTTCTCTTCATCATATGATCAGAAATGGGGATATTCGCCAATGTTTGCATCTTCAACTGCTTCATCAATGACCATCCTCCTGTCATAAGGTCAGAAGTAGGGATTGTTTGCCAATGATTGCAAACTGTTCAGCGCCATTCACGACTCCTCAGACACTGAAGCAGTCCATGTCCAAAGGTAACAAGATCTGGACAATATCTAGGCTTGGGCTGACCTGCGGCAAGTAACAGTCGTGCCACACAAATGCCAGACCAAGACCATCATCAATAAGAGACAATCTAACCACCATCCTTGACATTCAATGGTGTTACCATCACTGAATCCCCCATTATCAACATCCTGGTGGTTATCATTGACCAGAAACTCAACTGGACTCACCACATTAACAAAATGGCTTTAAGACCAGGTCAGGGACTAGCAATACTGCGCCAAGTAACTCACCTCCTGACTTCTCAAAGCCTGTCCACCATCTACAAGGCACATGCCAGAGTGTGATGGAATACTCCCCACTTGCCTGGATGCATGCAGCTCCAACAACGCTCAAGAAGCTTGACAACATCCAAGACAAAGGAGCCCACTTGATTGGCACTACAACCAGAAGCATCCATTCACACTACCATCGATGCTCAGTAGCAGCAGTATGTACTATCTATGAGATGCACTGCAGAAATTCACCAAAGATCGTCAGACAGCACCTTCCAAACCCAAGACCACTTCCATCTGGAAGGTCAAGGGAAAGCAGATATATGGAAACACAACCAACTCCAAGTTCACCTTCAAGCCACTCACCATCCTGACTTGCAAATATATTGCAATTCTGTCACTGTTGCTGGGTCAAAATCCTGGAACTCCCATTCTATTGACATTGCGGGTCAACAGGTGGACTGCAGCAGTTCAAGCAGGCAGCTCACCACCTTCTCAAGCTTGAGTAGGGATAGGCAATAAATTCTGGCCACGCAGCAACGTCCACATCCCACAAATGAGTAAAGAAAATTTAAAACCAGCTGAGCAGTGATTTTGCTGCAGCATGTAATACTGTTCAGAAATCCATGAACTTGGTTCAGTAGTCTTCCTACCATTAATTTGCATTTTGATACTTCAAATTGTTCAGGATGTCACTAATTTTGTTCAATTATTTTACTCTATAAGGCTATGTATGAGATAATGGATTACATTTTTCTTGTTCAAAAAAGGGTTAATAAACTTCTAAAGTCCCCTTATTTGTGACATCTTTTCAAAAGAGACAGAGTGCACCTATAATAATGTCTTGCTAATTTTTAGGCAGTAATGTAATGTACGATCATAAATGATGAGAAGTTCTGAATTATAACTGTTGCATATAACAGAATTATGAATAATACCTGAACAAAACTTGAGAAAACCTTGATTTCCTCATAAGGCCCTGGAGTTTGGGGGTGGTGGTGGGGAATATCTATAAATGTATGTAGCTGCACCACCTCTGACCTTTCCCTGGGTTTGTCAGATGTTACTTTGGCATAAATGGTCCTCAAAACATTCTGTATATATATAGTCTCAGAGCCTACTTCCACATAGGCTAGTCAGCTGCAGTGTTTTTCCAAGAGACGAGGTATGCAATGCAGAAGTTTGTAAGACTCATTTTTAGGGTATCCTTGTACTGTTGCACTGTTTTGACCACTTTGATGTTGTTCCTTGAGACAGTTTCCCATATAAGATCTGCTTGTTGATTCTGTACTAACCCTGGGAGAGACAATGACCTGCCTGTTAAAGTTGAATTTTCTAAACCTATTGAGCTCAACATGATGAAGGATTTTATTGTACGTGATTTTGGCCTATCACAGAACTATCATGATGGAGCTCAGGTGACTTTGGTAAATGATGTGGTGCCTCTAGAATACAAGGTCTGCGCCATACAGCACAATGTTAATAACAATGACATGGCAGAGTTTAATTTTAGTCTTCAGCTTAATGCCATGCTGCTTCGAGTTGCAGTCATAGAGCTGGCTATGTGCAGAACTTGTTTTCTGGATGCATGCATGGATATCTTCATCAATAGTGGCAACCCTAAATGCCAATATCAAAATGCATCTACAGCCTTGAGATGACTCTATGACTGGTATCTTCAACAGTTATGTCTGGTGTGTTTTAGCAAGTGCTTAAAATTTATTTTTTTTAAAATGAACTGAAAATTCATACAGAAAACATATTCTCAGGCCTGTTGATTTCACTCTGTAAGCAGTCACTACAACCTAAATGACAACATGTAAAACCTAACTTACTTAAGTTCCTTCACTTCCTCAATGGCAACATTTTATTTCTACTTGTTCCTGCTGCAGTAAGAAATTTGTGAGCCAAAACTGCATAAGAAATCATGACTAGAACTCTGTTTTAATGAGCTAACCTCCATGACTACAATTAATGCTGTCCAGGAATTTGTTATGAGTTATCACAGATAATTTGATAAACCAATACAACATCAATATACCATCACAGCAGTTATACCACATGTACATATTAAAGGAAAATAAGCATGAACATATCTGCAACCAGATTCAATGCCACATGAGGGCAGACTCGTATAGTGCTATCAAGCAACTGAACCAAAGTTAAAGATCAAAAAAAAACTTGCTTGATTTACCTACCGTCCAGTTGAAATAACCAGTTTTGTTGTCACTTCATTATCTAAAAGAACAAAATATATTTATTGGGATGCTGAAGCACTAATTGCAAGAACGCAAGAATCCAGAAGTACAATTTGTTCCTATTTAAGCAGATTGAATTTCAGCTTCACACGATGTTGTGTAAAAAGTACAAAGCCACATTTCTGCACATCCCATTAAGTGAAGAACTTCATGTAGTGGTGAGAAATTATAGTACAATAAATGTAAGTTGTTTAATGTAACAAGCACCAAATGCTGTTGCCAGGGATGGAATGGCTGATGCATTAAACAAGACATTTTGTACTATCATGTATTCAATTCTACTGCGTACAAATAAATTAGCTTCAGAATAGTCATATGTTAGACGGAAGATTCATCTTTTCAGGGTTGGCCTTCTTACTATAAGATTTCAAAGGAGTAGTTGCATAAGTACTCCATTAATCTGCAGCCAGAAATTCTATGATGACAGAACACAGGAGTTGCCAGGCAACTGATGCCGAATGGGTGCTGTGAGTTGTGCCTGATTCATCCCACTGGCATCTATCCAAATCCCACATCGGTTCACTACTTAATCTTTAGAGCTGTTTCACAGTTCACAGTTGTGAAAAGCAGACAACACACCAATTTTTTAACCTGTAACTGAAAAGAGCTGCTCTCAAAGTAATTTCACTCTGTGAGCAACTACAAATTCAGTTAACACTAATAAGTCAAAAGTCTTTTCTAGCTATTCAGAAACTGCAAACAAAATGGTCATTCAACCTAGCTGGTCTATGTAGTGTTTTCAGTTATAGTGCTGCGCAGCATGAAAAGAGGGCCTTTGGCCCATGCCAGTCATCAAGTACCTATCTACTCAAGTCCCACGTTCTCACACTTGTCCCATAGCCTTGTGTACGATGGTGCTTTAAGCGTTCTATCTAAATATTTCTTAAATATTGTGATGATTGCTGCCTCTACCACCTTTCCAAGCAGCAAGTTCCAGACACTAGGAAGTGCAGTTGCTGGTAGATAGGATAGTGAAGAAGGCATTTGGCATGCTTGCCTTTATCGATCAGTGCATTCAGAATAGGAGTTGGAAGGTCATGTTGTGGCTGTATAGGACATTGGTTAGGCTACTATTGGAATATTGCATTCAATTCTGGTCTCCCTGCTATAGGAAGGACGTTATGAAACTTGAAAGGGTTCAGAAAAGATTTACAAGGCTGTTGCCAAAGTTGGAGGGTTTGCCTTACAGGGAGAGGCTGAATAGATGCGGCTATTTTCCTTGGAGCATCAGAGGCTGAGGGGTGACCTTATGGAGGTTTATAAAATCATGAGGGGCATGGATAGGGTAGATAGACAAGGTCTTTTTCCCAGGTAGGGGAGTCCAAAATGAGAGGACATAGGTTTAAGGTGAGAGGGGAAAGATTTAAAAGGGACCTAAGGGGCAACTTTTTCACGCAGAGGGTGGTGCGTGTATGGAACAAACTGCCAGAGGAAGTGGTGGAGAATGGTATAATTCCAACATTTAAAAGGCATCTGGATGGGTATATGAATAGGAAAGGTTTAGAGGGATATGGGCCAAAATGTTGAAAAAATGGGACTGGATTAAATTAGGATATCTGGTCGGCATGATTGAGTTGGACCGAAGGGTCTGTTTCTGTGCTGTATATCTCTGTGACTCTGTGACTCACTACCCTCTTGACAGAAAGAGTCTTTCTTAAATCCCCTCTGAACTTCTCCTCTTACCTTAAATCACTGGATATTTTCCCCTCTACTACGAGTATAAGAACTAGGAACAGGAGTAAGCAATTCAGCCCCTCGAGTCTCTTCCACCATTCAATACGATCATAACTGATCTCACCTCAGCCTCAACTCCATTTTCCTGCCGACTCCCCATAATCCTTCAACATGTTACTAATTAAAAATCTGTCTATCTCCACCTTAAAAGTAGTCAGTGTCCCAGCATTTACCACAATTTGGGGTAGTGAATTCCATAGATTCACGACCCTGAGAGAAATAATTCCTCCTCATTTCTGTTTTAAATCTGCTACCCGTTATCCTAAAATTAATCCTCTCATTTAGATTACCCCATATGAGGAAACATCCTCCCTAGGTCTACGTCGTTAATTCCCTTTAACATCTTGCGTACCTCAATTAGATCCCATCTCATTCTTCTAAACTCCATAAACTGCTCAAGCTTTCTTCACAAGATAAATTCCTCATCTCTGAAATCAATCTAGTGAACCTGCTCTGAACTGCCTCCAATGCAATTACATACCCAGCAAGTAAGGGCATAAAAATTGTACATAATACTCCAGATGTGGTTTCACTAATTTCCTCTACAGTTGCAGCAACCTTCCTACTTTTATACTTGATTCCTTTAGCAATAAATGCCAAAATTCCATCTGCCTTCCTTATTATCTGCTTTAGGTTTCTCTCCATTTAGATAATAACATGCCTTTCTAATCCTCCAACCAAAATGGATAACTTTTGCATGGTAAAATTAATCTGCCAAATCTCAGCCCATTCATCTAACTTATCCACATCAGTTTGTAAATCTTTCATTTCTACATTTCACCCTACTTTCCCATCTATTTTACTTTAATCTACAAATTTAGTTGTAGTATTTTCTATCCCTTCATCCAAGACATTTATAAAGATTGTAAGTAGTTGACGCCCAAGGACCAAGCCCTGTGGCACCCCACTAGAAAAAGACCCAATTATCCTAACTCTATACTTTCTGTTGGTTAGCCAATCCCCTGTCCAAGCTCATAAATTACTCTTAACTGCATGTGAGTTTATCTTGTGAATTAATCTTCTGTATGGCAACCTTATCAAATGCCTTCTGGAAGTCCAGATATATTACATCTATACAATCTCTATTATCTACCTTGCTTGTTACATCTTCAAAACCTGCATAAAACCAGGCTGACTGATGGATTGTGTATTGAGTTTCCAAATGCCCTGTAATTACTTCCTTCACAATGGATTGTAACAATTTCCCAATGGCACATGTCTAACTGGTCTATAGTTCCCTACTTTCTGCCTCCCTCCCTTTTTGAGGAAGGGCATTACATTAGCATTTTTCCAATCCACTATTAACTTCCCTGCCTCATCCTCCAGGGGGCCAACATTCACTTTAACTACTTTAACTAATCTCTCCCCTTTATATACTGACAGAAGCTATAGCTACCCATTTCTTGATTTTGCAATAATTTTCTTACATAATTTACCTTTGCTCTTTTTATCACATTTTTAGTAACCCTTTGCTGATCTTTAAAAGTTTCCCAATCCTCCAGCCTGCCATTAGACTTTGCTAATAATGGTATGCCTTAGTTTGTCTTTATAATATCTTTAACTTCCTTGTTTAGCCATGGATGACTTTTCCCCTCTTACAATCTTTCTTCCTTTCTGAAATACATTTCAGTTGGGGATAATTGAAAATCTCTTTAAAAATTTGCCACTGATCATTAACAGTCTAACCTAAGTTTTCCTGCCTAGTCCATTTGGGCCAAATCTGTACTCATGCCTATGTAATTACCTTTGTTTATCTCCAGAGCACTAGTGTGGGATTCCAGTTTCTCATCCTCCAGCTGAATTTAAAGTTCTAGTATGCTATGATCATCCTTCCCTTTACGATGAGATCATTAATTAATCTCACCTCATTAACAAATACCAAATGCTCCCTGGTTGTTTCTTGGAGCATTATGTTTTGGAACCAATCTCAAATACATTCAATGAACTTTCCTTTGAGTCTACCTTTGCCAATTTGATTAATCCAGTGTCTGTGCATATTAGAATCATGCATGATTATTGCAGTACAAAAACTGAAAGAACTGCGGATGCTGTAAATCAGGAACAAAAACAAAGTTGCTGGAAAAGCTCAGCAGGTCTGGCAGCATCTGTGAAGAAAAAATCAGAGTTAATGTTTTGGGTCTGGTGACCCTTCCTCAGATTATTGCAGTTCCTTTCTTACAAATTTCCAGTATTTCCTGGTTTCTCCTGTGCTCCAGCGCAGGACTACTGTTTGGGGATCTATAGATTACTCACAAGAGACCTTTTTCCTTTGCTACTTCTTACTTCTGCCTAGACT